CATCTGGCTGGATCCTCCCTGCCTTCTGCCTTCTAGTTGGGTTGCCTAATAGGAGGTACCAGCAGGATCAAGAGGAGGGCAGTCTGGGAGGTTTCCTTCCTCTCTTTTCTGGCAGTGGCTGCACCCCCTCCACCACAGTTCCTGTCAGGGGCCCTTCTTCCATGACCACACTAACTCTGCCTCCCCCTGTCCATTAAACCTCAGGGCATAAGACCAGTCTCTGACACTCCATCATTTCTTGCTGTCTCCCTGAACCTTGCCGACACCTCCAGAACTGATTCTTTCAATGAAATGTCTTCCAGCTACAGCTATCAAAATGGGGCGCGGGGGAAGGGAATGCTTCTCACTTTGCCAAGCTATCCCATTTCTAGGATTTTATTTTACAGTAAACTTACATATGCTACAAAGACATATAAAGGGCTACAAAATATGTAACTATTTCTTAGCGGGAATGTGAAAAAAACGGATGGTAGTGCAGCCAGTGAAATACTTTGTAGCCATAATATAGTTTCAACTGGATAAAAAAGAAACACTATGTATGGCATGTTACAACTTGTGTTGAAAGAAGGGCAGGATTAGGTATGCATATGCAAGGGGGCTTCAAAGATTTAGTGAAACAATGGAATACGAAGATGTGGAAGTTTCCATAAACGTTTTGAAGACTTTCACATATGCTTGAATGTGCGTGATTTTCCCTAGAGTGACCCAAGGAAGAAGAATGGCGAGGTGACAGTTTGCTTAGAGGAAGGAAAAGGACTGCAGTTGAGAACAGGCAGACTATACTTGCTGTCCCTGATGTAGGATTGGCCACTGACTTGCTTTGGCCAATGGGATAATAGATGTGGCATTGGGAGAGAAGTTATATGTGGCTGTGCAGTTTGGTTGGGCTTCACGGTGTCATCCATTCCTTCACCGCCCCCCAATCCCAAGAAGTTTGTTTGCCTCGGGCAGTGCTAGGCCTTCAGCCTGGGCCCAGAACGAGACATGAAGAACAGACCTGAACCCAATCCACAGCTTGGAGCCAAACTCAGCTGAGCCCAACTAACCCACAGACCCTAGCGTTCACATTAGAGAGTTGGTGGTGTTTTAAGCTCCTGACCTTCGGGAGGTGTGTTATGCGGTATCACTGCAGCAATGCTTGTGTTCTGTAGGATTTGTGAAGCACAGGTATGAGTTATGGGGTATGTATGCATGCAGGGCTTGTGTGTTTTATGAGTGGGTAAATGGCTTTATGATGTATCAAACAAAACTGAGCAAGCATATGGTCTGTATTCCAAACTTGTCTTCAGCACCCCCGCCAGAAGGTACCTTGAGTTCTGCTGAAGGGAAACGCACAATTCGCAGCCCTGCCTCTCTCTGACTTACTAGTGGTTTCTAGGAAGGTGGCAGCAGCCAGACAGGGGTGTTTGACTTGACTGGTGTTCAACAAACCAAGGGAGGGGTAGCACCAGCTGAGCCAAGCCACACCTGACCACATGCCCAACCTGTGTGTGCCTTGGCTGCAGAGATTTCCGTCCCTGCAGCAGGGCTTGGCAGTCCCGTCAGGAACAGAGGGGCTCTATGAGAAGCAGAAAGCTGCAATGTGCACCTCAGTCAGCAGGGGCTTGTGAGGAATGGTGCCTCAGGACTCAAGGTCTCCGGGGATCCCTTCAAGGGTTCCATCTTCCTGCTCTTGCTGATGGTCATCCCCACAGCCACTCCGATGGAGCACTCTGCAGTTAGACTGTCCCCAGGCTACGTCTCAACTTCATCAGCTGTGCCCTGGGTTACTTACTCACTTCAACCTCTTGGGCTTCAATTTCAACATAGAGATTGGAGTGAATGTATTCCTATATGAAGTACATTACAGGAACATTCTCACTCAATTCTTGCAGAAACCACCTGACTCTGGCTGGACTCCCCCAGAGACAGACAGTGAGACAAGGATTCAAGTGAACACTGTTTATTTGTCCACTAACTCCAAGAAATACACTTGGGGAGTGGGGAAGGCCGGCAGTTACCACTGGGGCTGCTGGAACTTGCTGGAAACCGTGAGAGACAGTGGAGGACACACATCTCAGAGTTACCCCCACAAGGGATCTGCACCAACTCCCACCAGTCTTTGGTTGAAGGTTTCTCCTGGAGGTAGGTGACCAACTTTACCCATATGTCCAGTACTGTCCCTGCTTTGGAATGCCTGGTGTTGCAAATAATTAAGTTCTCAACTCCTAACAGAAAGGCAGGAGGTTTATATCCACCTGGAGGCCTGGTCTCTGCTTCTGAGAGGTCACAGCACTGAACATCCTACTGGGCAGTTCTACTCTGCACACAGGAGTTGCACCTGACTCAGTGACAGCTGGTTAGGTTTTGAGTTTTTGCCTCGGTTTTATCATGAAGACATCTGTAATTCTAGAAAACACCTGAATCCTCACCTGGATAACTGTTCAGACTACCTGTTTTTGTTGTTGTTGTTAAGTGCCATTGAGTCAGTTCCAATTCATAGCGACCCTGTACAGGGTTTTCAAGAGCAGCTGGTGAACTTGAACCGCCAACCTTGCACATTAGCCTGCTGCACCACACCAGCACTCCAGCACTGGCAGCCTGTTGGGCTCGCTCCAAGGCTGAGAACAAGCCCTGGGAACGATGAGCACCCATGCACTAAAGTGGTGAGAGCCAAGGGTGTGAAGTCCAACCTCATTTTAGAGGTGAGAGAAGTGAAGCTCAGAGAAGTTTAATGTCACAGAGCCAGAAGTGGTCTTTGGGTAGAGGGGCTCAAACCCAGACCTGTCCAATGCCAAAGCCCATGTCCTTGACCTGGGGTTCCAGATCCTCCTTCCACAAAGCAGACATGGCACCACAGGCTGGTGAAGTTGGAAGAACCCTGGAGTTTAGCTATCCAGTGACTGGGGAGGAAACCATTTCAGGCAGAGAAGCAGATTGAAGGGGAACTTGGTTGGCAGTTTCAGCAAGGAAACAGTAGCCACTCAGCTCAGATTGATCACTGTCACCTAGCAACAGAGACCCAGTGCTGCAAAACAGTCCAATTTTTCAACAAAAGCTGGGTTTTCATGGGAAAACTCCCAAGTTTTAAATAATTTTCTAGAACACATTGCAAACCAACCCTGTGTAGACTAAATATCATTTTTCGGTTCCTGGGCTGCCCAGTCGTAGCCCTGAATCTTGTCCAGTCGCCCCTCTGCCCACTGGATAGGTGCCCCTGAAGTCAGGTGCCTACAGAAACAAGGGCTGGTCCAGAGTGCTTAGAATGCATATATATATACCCACCACAATCTGAGCTCTTGTCATTTTCTGTCCTGATTGCTTCCTGCAACATTCTTACCTGTGGATCCTTAGCTGACATCAGTAAGTAGCTGATGCTTGGAGTCCATCAGTTAACCCTTTCTGACTTGACTGTTCAACCCCAGCAGTGCCTCCCTCTAGCAACTCCAGGGCTTACACCTACCTGCACAGCAGGGACCTTGTCCTCTGGCCATTCCTGAGCTGTCACCCTCTGTCGCTCTCTATATGTATTTCATACAGGGTGAACATTGTATTTTTAAGTTATGCCACCATTTTGAATCCTGATTGAATCAAGTCTGGCTGTAAGCAGTGGTGTGCTGATAAATGTTTAGCAGGTAGCTCTCTGGACAGGCAGTGATCCCTGGCCTGCTGTGTTTGCCGATTTCTGTGGTGTAGATCACTCTCACCCTGGCCCATATCAGACAAGCAGCATGATGTGACTAACTAAGCGAGGACTTGGGAAACAGTGTGCGATCGATCACACACACCGGAATACAGCATTTAGCACAGTGATACGACAGTTACAAATAACATCAGGAGTGTAGATGAAATGCTATGAACTAGGAGGTGGTGAGACTATTCAAGACCTTTGTTTCTAATATGATTTACTATATATTAGGTGGTGGCATGAGCTGTTGGTTCCAATTTACAGCAACCCTATGTGGTTGTTGTTCAGTGCTGTCGAGTTGCTTCCCACTCATAGCGACCCTGTATAGGATTTCCAAGGAACGGCTGGTGAGCTTGAACCGCCAACCTTGCAGTTCAAACCAACCTTATGATTGAGTGCTTATCCTACAGCTCCATACCCTTTGTTAGGTGCCATCAAGTCAGTACCAACTCATAGTGACCCTATGCACAACAGAATGAAACTGCCCAGTCCTGGGCCAACCTCACAATTGTTGCCACACTTGAGTCCATCAATGCTGCCACCTGGCCAATCCATCTCGTTGGGGGGTCTTCCTCTTTTTCTCTGACCCTCCACCTTATCAAACATGATATCCTTCTCCAGTGACTGGTCCCTCCTGACAGTGTGTCTGAAGTATGAGAGACAAAGTTTGGCCATCTTGGCCTCCAAGGAGCACTCTAGCTGCCCTTCTTCGAACAAGATTTGTTGTTCTTTCGGCAGCCCATTAGCACTTTCAATATTCTCCTCCAACACCTTAACTCAGAAGCATCAATTCTTCTACAGTCTTCCTTTATTCATTGTCTAGCTTTCGCATGCATACCCTATAGTTAGTTTAAATAATTTCATTTTTAATAAGGGCTGTATTTAACAAAGAGGGGTCCTGGTGGTACAGTGGTTTAAGTGCTCAGCTGCTGACCAAAAGATGGGAGGTTTGAACCCAGCAGCTGTTCCTCAGGAGAAGGAGGTGGCAGTCTGCTTCCATAAAGATGTGCCGCCTTGGAAACCCTGTGGGTCAGTGTACTTTGTCCTACATGGTCACTCTGGGTCAGAATGGACTTGATATCAGTGGGTATTTTTTGTCTTTTCGGTGGCATTTAACAGCTGAATTCCTGAAATTCCTGGAAATGTTAACCATTAGCTCTTCTGAGCTGATATGAGGTGTTTGGCTACACACAGAGACACAGAAGTAAGAGAAGCTTGTGTTGAGGGGTCAAAGGACAAGGATGTAGGGGAAAGCCACCCCCAGCCATCCTCTCCACCTGCTCCCCCTCCCTCCACTGCTCCCCAGCCTGCCTGCCCACCCAGCCCCACCTACCTGCAGCAGGAAGTCCAAGAGCGCCAGGCGTGCCCACTCGGTGCGGTGGATGCCCAGGCACGGGCCCTGGCCCGGCCAGCTGCAGCCACGCACCAGCAGGGCCTGGTACTGTAACCAGCCTAAGGCCAGAGAGTTCTGGTCATTGTCAGGATCAGCCAGGTGCTGCACGTCAGGCGCCCACCAGATGAGGGGCCTGGCGCCACCATCCGTGTAGCGGTAGGGCAGCAGGGGGCTGTGGAAGTGCCGGGCCACGGCAGGCAGGCTCCGCCGCAGCCCCAGCACACGGTCCACGTGGAAGGACAGGACCTCCAGCAGGTCCCCAGGCCTCTTGATGAGGCCACAGAGCCCCTGGGAGCAATGGTGGCTGAGCCCAGGAGACGAGTCCTGATGGACACTCTCAGTGGAGAGGCCAACCTGCAGCACCTGTCCATGGCCAGGAACCCGAGCCTTGCCCACCACCTCCCCTTGGGCCAGCAGCCTGAGGGTCTGCACATCGTGCTCTGTAAACCATGGGGGAACCTGTCCATGAGTCCTCAAGCCCATCAGTGGCCCAGGGGTCTCAGTGTCACACCAGACGGACTCTGGCCACTTCCCAACAGAGCCAGGCCACCACCGAGCCTCAGGTGCCAGGTCAGAGTCTCCTGCATGTTGCTCACCACCCAAGGTGCTCTTCCCAGTTCTCCGCAGCTCCCTGCTTTCAGCTGGGCGGGGCTGCAGAGTGGGTCCAGCAGTAGCTCTCCAGGTCAGGAAAGTGGTCAGGTCACGCCCTATGAGCTTGCTGACCAGGGTGCCCATCTCACTCTGTGTCTCCGGCCAAGTTTGGGCATGGTCTCTGGCTCCCAGGCCCCTGAGCCCATTCTCTCCCAGAAACACAGGATGCAGAGTGCTGCGTCTTGAACCTCCGAGGGCTGCCGTGTCCCTCCTGACCCTCCCTGAATGCCTGCTGGCCTCTCCTGGGGACTGTTTGCTTCTGTCCATTCTCCCTTTGTGGCCCTGCTCCTCTGCACAGGCCAAGTTGGAATCGCTGGCCAAAGCCAAGCCTCTCTGGAACCCCAGGTTTCTTGCCCATTGCCTCCAGCTAGAGCTCAGCATCTGCCGGACCTGGGGGCCAGGAGGTTCCATGGAGCCAGGGTCCGGGCTGATGGCTGGATGCATTGAGGAGATGCAGGTGACAGCCAGTACAAACAGGGTCATCAGGAAGCAGAATGCCATCACTGACCGCCTCTTGCCGCGCAGTCTTCTCCAGAACCAAAACGCCTGGGGGAGGAGGGAGGAGGTAGAAAGAGAAAGCTTGAGACCTGAGGAAGACACTAGCCCCAACCCACAAAACAATGGGGACGGACACTAGAGGCACCTGGCTACACGTTGGGTGAAAGGAAAGAGCATAGACCAGCTGAAGAAACAACCAGCTGCCTTTAAGAAATGAAAAGCCTAGTCAACTACACTCATGTTTCCAGGTTTCACTGCTCAGCCTCCTCTGGGTGGATGCCCCCGATGCCTGCAGACTGCGCGTCTCCCCTACGGCTTCCATTCCCTTCAACCATACCCCATTAGGATATGGTCTTTACGAATCATAAGGGTCTCCTTGCACATCTGTTCCCCATAAGATCCCTAGGGCCCATGGGGCAGACTCACTTATCCCCATGAATACGCTCTTGCCTTTTTCCAGGATGCATGGTCACCCAGCTAAAGATGACTTTTCCAACCTGCCTTGCAGATAGATGTGGTCATGTGATTTAAGGCCTTGCCCATGCACAAGATCAACCACTTTCGCCTACCTCACTTGCTTAAGTGGAAATTGAGTGTCCTGGTCTTTGTCTGTTCCCTTTTTCCACAGGTTGGGACGGGAATGAGAAAGCACCAACTCCATGCGTGATTGTTGTTGTTGTCAGGTGCCATCTAGTCAGAACCGACTCATAGCGACCCCATGCACAGCAGAACGAAACAATGTCCGATCCTGGGCCAATCTCACTACCGCTGCCACACTTGAGTCCATCAGTGATGCCACCTGGCTGATCCATCTCGTTGGGGGTCTTCCTCTTTTTCTCTGACCCTCCACCTTA